TCCTTCCCGCTCTTCTATCCGTTTCTCTCAACTCCACTCTCCATTTTCATGTCAACGTCTTTGCACATGCTGAATCACTAAACGTCAAAGTTGACGAGGGGTACGGTTCCGGTTGTAATCGGGATTCCTTATCGAAACGGCAATCGGCGTACAGGTACAACTTTTTTTTTTCTCATGAAAAATTAATCAGAAGCAAGAGGGAGAGGAAGAAAACAACAATGTCACAAGAGAGAGAAATTTCATATTGGTTGAAGGGTTTCTGATCAGATTGCTTGCTTGTGAGAGAAGAAGCAATTGATCATTCCTTACACCTTTATCTCTACATCTTTCTTCAATTCTACAATACTTTACTTTCCTCTACTCTGCCCTATTCTACTCCATTCTACAACTTCTTTCACGATCATCAGCATACAATGCCTTCACTTCATGGTCTTTGGTCGCATATCAATGTTACTTTGGCTAACCTGACAAATAACAGAGATGATGATGGTGATCATATCGATTCCGATACACCCCGCTCTGGTGTCGCGACCCCACAACCAGATCCTTCGGACAAGCGAACTCCTGGTATATTGCATAGCTTTTATGGACAGGTTGGTTTAGGTTCTTCCTCAAGTCAAAATCCTTCGAAACATACATCACATACATCACAAAATCCTAACACAAGTGATCTTGAGAGTTACTATACTTCCCCGCGGCAGAGATTTGAAACAGGGGATGCATTGTTGAAAGTCACTCCAAGTTCACTCAATGAACCTCGGATTGATTGTGAAGTAGAGAAAGAAAACTCACTACTTCCACCACATGAACTTTTGGGTAGTTCTCAAATATCTAAGCAACAATATCTCTATCCGACACCACCGGTTTCACATCCGTCCTCACTACATAAATTGAAATTGAGTGATGCGAGTTTTGAAGATATTGGCAATAATGTACAGAAAACGGCAGCTCCTACAGATCGAGATTGTATTTCGGAATCAATTCCGTCACATGCAAGAAGAGCTTCGTCTATGACACCATTGTCAAACATTGTCACTCCATCAAATGTTCATGCTGCACATTTTTCAAACCCAAGCGATACCCCTTCCGAGCACAAACTTAGCACTCCTCCATTATCCCGATTGAATTCTGAATTCCACAAGTCACCATCTTATGATCGACTCAAGAAGCTAACTTGTGATGGATTAAAGAGCATACCATCAACACCCACTCGAGCTTTATCGAATCAAACCTCGAAGTCAGATCAAAGTGTTATGAGCACACATTCTGAACATATCGCGCAAAATGGCAAATCAGGCACGAGTGAGCGACCGGCTACTACTTCTCGTACTGATAGTAGTTTGGGGGGCGCGGTGGTACCACCGAAGGGTAAACTTACTGTAAAGATTAATGAAGCCAGAGGATTGAGAAAGAGCGTGGATCCTTACGTTGTAGCCGTTTTCCAACGAAACGAGCTGGTATCAAAAGGACCACAATCAGAAGAGGACGATGAGGATGATGGCAACTCACATAGCCCCGGCGGTATTCCAATTGGTGGCATTCCGATTACTCGAACTGGAAGTGACTCCGGTCGCTCTATGGCAATTCCGATGAAAAGCAGGCAAAGCAGCAATACTAGTTTGTCGGAATACAGAGATTTTAAGAACAAGGGCCGAAAGATGTTTACCCATCCAAAATGGGATGCTGAAGCTGTCTTGTAAGTGTGTCGGAGAGACTAGTGGCTCACCTAGCTAACGATACTTAGTGATGTTGTTGGCTCAGATACAAGAGTCAATATAACCATTTACGACCGAGCTCAACAAGCAGAAGAATTTTTGGGTCATGTTGATCTTCAAGCCAATCTTGTTGAGAATGTTGATGCTCCAGTTACCGGCTGGTTTCAACTTCGTGGCAAAGACATGACATCGAATGCAGGAAATGTAGGTGAAGTTCACGTCGAAATTTCCTTCCAACGAACAGAAAAGAGACATTATGGTCCAGATGATTTCCAGATTTTGAAGCTTATCGGAAAGGGTACATTTGGTCAAGTCTATCAAGTAAGGAAGAAGGATACCAAGAGAATCTACGCTATGAAAGTTCTTCAAAAGAAGGTTATTGTTCAAAAGAAGGAGGTTGCTCACACCGTTGGCGAGAGAAATATTCTTGTTCGAACAGCTACAGCCGATTCTCCATTCATCGTTGGTCTTAAGTTCTCCTTCCAGACACCAACAGATCTATATCTTGTCACAGATTATATGTCTGGAGGCGAATTGTTCTGGCATTTGCAGAAGGAGGGAAGATTTGATGAGCAACGTGCCAAATTTTACATTGCAGAACTCATCCTAGCGCTTGAACATCTTCACAAACACGATATCGTCTATCGGGATTTGAAACCAGAGAACATCTTATTGGACGCAAATGGACACATTGCTTTGTGTGACTTTGGTCTATCGAAAGCGAACCTCACGAAGAACGCCACGACTAATACATTCTGTGGTACTACAGAGTACCTTGCACCCGAAGTTCTTTTAGACGAAGCTGGATATACAAAGATGGTTGATTTCTGGTCTCTAGGAGTCTTGGTGTTTGAGATGTGTTGTGGATGGAGCCCATTCTATGCCGAAGATACACAACAAATGTACAAGAATATCGCTTTTGGTAAAGTTCGATTTCCAAGAGATACTTTGACTACAGAGGGTCGAAATTTCGTCAAAGGATTACTTAACAGAAACCCCAAACATCGTCTTGGGGCTACCGATGATGCTGAAGAATTAAAGAGACATCCTTTCTTCCAGGACATTGATTGGGATGCTCTTACCAAGAAGCTTATCACTCCCCCTTTCAAGCCAAAGTTGAAGTCAGAGACTGATACATCCAATTTCGATCCTGAATTCACCAATGCCTTGAATGGTGCATCATCACTCAACGCACGTGCAGCTGCCCTTGCTGCAGGCATGGCAACATCAACACCATTATCCCCAGGCATGCAAGCAAACTTCAAGGGCTTTACATTTGTTGATGAAAGCTCGATTGAAGAAAACATGAAAGATAGAGCCAAAGATGAATACGAGGATCGAATGGATCAAGACACTAATGATCCAGAACGTGATTGGGAGGACCCATTTGATATCCCTGATAAATCACGCATGGATCGAATGAGTGGTGTAGTGAGGAATCACAATGAAGATGAACGAATGTTCAATGGTGATGACTTCCATTGATCCTTTGTTTATTCCTCAATATGACCTCATCTTATGTATTTAAGGATCTGGTGCAGACAAGTTTTCTTTTTGTGTCAGCATACATATACAATCTTCCTTTTTATTTCCAATTCGGGTTTGATGAATGGAATAGGGTTAATGGTGTGGTGCATGCATGCTTTTCCATTGTATCTTACTTTGTCTTTCATGGTCTTCTTTATTTGTTCGCCGATTATTTGGTGGGTTCATTACTGGAGATGATTGATCGATACATAATCTGGGGAATCTTACCTTACATCCGTTTACATACTTATGATGATATCTTTCGAGTGGTAAGAGCATGGGCTTGGCGTAATTGATGGATGATTAATTGCGTGTGCTTGTCCTCGCGCTTGTTTTTTTTGCATTGGGATGGAGTTGAGTTATTTGCACTGCATGAGGCGCATGATTTGTATCAATTTGCTTGCTTCTATATCTATAGGAGTATGAATGGGAGGACAAGGGTGGAATGATTAGTGGTGGTATGGGATAAGTGTAGTGGAGAAAAAAAGAAACGCAACCTTCAAGAAGTATTGAATGTAGTACTAGCATCGACGATTGCATTCTTATGACGGAACATGTTGTTCAGGATGTGAGGTGGGAGATGGAATAAGCTGTTTGGTGGAAGTACAATCGGGGCAAGGAAGAGAAAAGGGATATAATATTGATAGAAGCTTTTAGGCATGAGTGATTAGAGAATGCGGATTATGATTAATGAAAGAAGTGGGAGAGGGGCGCAGCTTCGAAGGAAGGGAAGAGGGGATGATATGAGACGAAAAGAAGTCCTGAGAAGTGATTTATCTATCGGATTGTATTGTATCATTCGTGTTTATGTATGTTCATTGATTTGATCTTGAGGGGTAAGGTGTGAGGTTTCATGTGAGATGTGATATCAAATATGAGGTGTGATGCGAGATCTTGGGCATATGAGCAACTGATACAAGAATATTAGAGCCATAGCTGCATGTGTGTTGATTTGCAAGATAGTTTGTTGCCCTTCCACCTGCATGTCAAGAATGCTTGCTTCAAACCCTATCTCATGGTCAAAAATGCATGGTAGTATCTGGCGATCACTAATCCATCTGGTCTGTATTTCTTTGCCCTCGAATATGAGGTAAGACCTATCCAAAGTTGTACATCTTCAATATGTCTGTCCCGAAATCTTCGGGCATATTGTGCAGTAAGTAGGTAGGTGTGTGAACGTTCACTCAATCTTAGTTCTTCGCCCGCCCTGATTTATGAACTCGGAACCCTCGTAACTCTCACGTCGATTTCTAGAATTATATTGGGATTACCTTAATGGATAGCGAGGGTCTGTGAGGTCATTTTCCTGGGTGAGAAATTGATCTCGGAAATCTTTCCGGATTTGGGATTTTGTCGATTTATTACTTGATGGTTCCTCGTGTGCAAAATATGGTGGTACACTTTGCTTTTCGTGGACCGTGGGACACTCTCCAGGGAACTCCAATTTGTTCCTTCGTCGAGTTTGTCGACGCTGATAACAGGTACTGCGCTCGTTCACAATCGTGCTAATGCACCCTCGTAAAGACCGCAACTCACTGTCTTGCCACTTTTCTGTCCTCTAAGGTTCATGGGCAGAAGCAAAATTTAGAGGCTCACTATATCTTTTGGTAACCATACGACTTCTATATGGGGTGTAACAGGTTTCTCACAACATACCCGGAAGTCTAATGAATGCGACTTTCGATACTATTCACATGGTGTTTCATTACATCGGCCCAATATAATTTTACAGTCCACAACAACGCAAGCATCAAGTGCTTATTGTCTCCGGCACAATCTTCCGGTCGCATCCTCAACCCATTTATCACTCCCCACACATGTTGGACAATAGAATACATCGTCACCATCGTAAGTCTTCTTCACTTCTTCCAACTTTGGTAAACTCTCACCGTAAAAATCCTTCAAATAATCCGGATCAAACCTATCCGCTTCATTCATGTAACATCCAGTATCAGGCGCCAACTTTTTCATCGCTCCGATTTTCGTGTATGTTATATCATCCCTAATTTCTTTTACGATAGCCTCGTCGGTATCTGTGGTCCATCCGCGCGCCACGACATTGTGTATGTATGAAGATCTCCATGCGGGATTCAGTCCTGAGCTTTCATCGGGGACAAACACCTGACCACCTCCAACCAGAGAGACAGAAGTAAAAGCAAATTGTCCTTGTGATCCAGCAGTTATATTCAGCATCTCATTGAGATCCTTCAAAGAAGATGTCAGTGCTGTACGGTCCAAAAGACGCCCACCGAAAGCTCCAGTTCCAACACCTGCTGCACTCTTACCACCTGAAAGTGTCTGGTAGTAGTTGGCATATGTTGGAAACTCCAAATAATTAGGATTAACAAGGAGAGTTGTGTTATACTGCTCAAGTTTGGACATTAAAGTTTCAAGTATTTTCCGGGTTTCGGTAAGAGTCTTTCCTGACACGGCTATAGCATGTTGATAACCGGTTGTGAAATTTCCAAAAACAGGCGCATAGCTCTGCACTGCCCAACTTCCATACCCAGAAAGACCAGCATCATTGAGATCTGGATATGCAGAGTATATCAATGCCAAGGCTGTCATGAATACTGGAATTTCCGCATCGGTCAGTGGTGCAACGGTTAGTGTTTGGGCAGAAATTGATGTCGTTGGATACGCCTTGATAATTGTCGATACGACCACTCCATATGTTCCACCTCCTCCACCTCTAATGGCAAAGAAAATGTCTTGATTGTGACAGTTATTTGCAGTAACAATCTCTCCATTTGCAAGGACCACTTCAGCTTCGAGTACTTGATCGGCACCAAGGCCATAATCGCGAGATGCGGGTGAATGACCTCCTCCTTGAAACCACCCTCCGATGCATCCTACAGTCTATAGAATATCAGTCTTATATCGATTGATTTTCGGTCATTTAACATACCGGATCACCACCGCCTACAACAACCACATTTCGTTTCGTGGCCTCTGCATAGACATCTTCCCAGACATAACCTCCAGCAATCTTAAATACACCCTCTTCCCAATTCGAAGTTTTACAACCATCGGAAGGTAAATATTTTTCTTGAAAGATGATACCTAGTCTAAGATATCTGATCCAAACCTCTAAACTACCATAACCAGTGGATCTATATGGGAAGAATTAACTACCTAGATTTTATCATTCGATAGGAATACGATCGATCACCTACCTACCCAGTAGGTCATGGCCAGTATTTCTGACCACCAACCTAATATTATTTTCCCTAGCGAAAGCTATTCCCTTAGCAACATCTTCAGGCGTCGTCGCATTTACAACATATCGAGGAGCATCTCCAATCGAGCAATTTCCTGGAATCGCTCCTATCGCAAAATCAATCGGTGGACAAGAGTTATTAATAGGTGTATCTAGAGCAATTGGGTCATCTGCAACGAGCTCCTCGTCTGACAATTCTTTCACAACCGTAGAACATGCGTCTAAGTTTTGTCGCGGTCCTGGATAACAAACAATCGCTGCTGGTGTTGCTTTGATTAATTTCCCAGATATTGACGCATTCAATGATTTCCATGAGTGTTGTGAGGGCCAGCAGCCATCAGTTGGTCCCTATCACTAGTCAGGAATGATATTGTCTACAGACCGGGTTAAATGTACACATTTACAATCTTTTGAGTGTTCCGGTTTTATATTACCACCAGAATCCGTCGCAAAATTCAGAGAGACGAGAGCAAAAAGACACAAAATGAATCGAAGCATTCTTGTATTTATTGAAAATATTATATCAGGGTAAAATTCAAGGGGGGATTTGATATTAGGTCTTTAAAAGTACAAATTAGCACCTCGGTCTACTTGCAAATACCGTAATGAGACATTTCACGCAAATCTACGCCCCAAGCATCAGAAGAGGAAAGAGACAAGCATATATTACAGCCACCCGAGTTTTAACTTCAGCTGGTCGGATGATGAACAGCGCATCGAATCACTTCCACGTTAATACTAGATAATATTATGAGAAAGAAGCCAGCCAAATATGATTCAAATTTGTAATAAATTATATAGAGCATCTTTCAATCATTTTATACAGTTTTTAGTTCGAGCGATTGACATATAAATTTGAAACATCATTTTGAAAGGAAAATGCCTTTTAAAGGTGTGTTTTCCACGTCCAGGGCGAGCTTAATTGATGGTCCGCAGCTTGGAACAGGGTGATTTCGTCATGCAAATGCAATATTTAAATCATCCACACAATCTTGACGTTACATCAGATTTTGATTAACGTGAGAGATGGGAACAATGACAAGCAATAGGTATCGCTCTTCTATTGTGAATGTCGCATTTGGGAAGGATGGAAGGAGTGACATGTCTACTCGATTTAGCCGACATCCCGCTTCCGCGCACGGTCCCCCAATGCCCCTTTATGAATGTGTATATGGCTGATCTTTCTTTTGGAATTGCGGTTCTTTTACAATTGATTCGTCTCGCTCTTTAATATACTACATTTCTTCTATCTCATGAGTTTATCTACTTTTTGTAGCTATTGGAGAATCTTAGTCGGTGAAATCATTGAATTTTGGGCATCTTTTCAGTACAGACTCTTCCGTTTTATGGCATTGCTATGCGGTCTTGATATTTCCTACATGTTCACTGCTTGTCATTATTTTGTCCGAATCAAGTCTTTATCTTCATATTTGTCCTTATAGATCTCCACTATTTTGCAAGGCATCTTCGTAGTCCTCGAATCTTTACCGTCTTTTAATTTAGACATATCCAAGAGTCTACCGCTCAAAAGTAAAGGCCAGTCGTAGCTATCTATGTTGAGTTTCTCCGAGAAAGAGAATCAACCAGGACGCAGAAATGCCTAGCAACATTAGAGAGGGATTCATCTCAACTTGCTCGAGAGATAGAGCTCACCTTTATCAATTTGTATACCTGCGAAGAAGAAAAGGCATTGCAAAATTTTCAAGAAGCGCCGGGTCGATCGGATAAGACATCTGGAACGACAAGTGGACTGGGTCTGGCTGAAGTGCCATTGAAACATGGGTAAACTCTTGGGCATAAAGTAAAAAGGAGATACGAGCTGGGACTTGGAAGGGAAAACTTCACACGCTCTTAGTTACCCTTTCCCCAGCCCACAGCGGCGATCGAAGACGACTGAAAAACGAAGATAAAAAGCGAGGGGATTCAGAATTGTAAGTCATGCAAGCACATGAATGTGGAATTTTCACATCCTTAATATCAGTTCAGATAGCATGAAAGAATATCAAGGACACGTGAATCGAGCATAGGATCTCGAACAAAAAAAGTAGTGTACATACTGTATACTATATTCTGAGAGTTGCTTTTCTGTTTGAACATTAGAGTGGCAAGTCTCGACTCCGTAACTGTTCATGCACACGGTGGTCAAAAGTAAACCTAATTTGCACTCATCTTGGGGGAATGATAGACATTTTGCTCTAGAAGTGGAGTTCTGGATTAGATCAAGTGGCAGGAGAAGAAGTCATCGATATCTTTAGGTCACCGGGCTTCGAGCCTTACAACTGCAGAATTTCATATTCACTCCCACTGCTTGATATACCGCTCGCATCTCTACAGTAGTTTGCTATCACTCGCAAGCGCTGTTCTACTCTATCGAGACTTGAAAGATAGAAAATGAGATTAAGAATGAGCGTGCGACTTAATGTGTCTTTGAAGTATAAGTAGCCAGCCATCTGAGGAGATAATTTCGCAGGAGACGATGAGTTAATTTCAGCGGACCCCCTAATCACTTGTGTACTCCAGCCATAACGCATATACATATATATATTTACCATATCACTTTATATGTATTATCTTTTATAGATTTACTTCTCCCACTCCTCAAATAAGCACAACACACGTATCTGACATCTTGATTCCATCTCTCTCAAGCCCTCCGCATGTATTATACATGCTTCTTGCTCTACTCAAAACAAACAAGAGAATCACAACTTCAAAGTCAAATACCCTCCATCGATATCGAACTCCACTTCTTTTCTTTCCTCGGCTCTGCCAGATCCAGTTAAACAGTCTGTTGTAGAGACAATCCCAATCCCAATCGCATCAATTTCATAGAAGTTGAAGATTTCCGTACGTATATCTCGCTCTGGACATCTCTTGTCATTAATAATGCCATTTTTGTTTATGATTTTACTCATGTACCCGAGGATTACAGATCCTACCATGTCCAAGATCTTCGTGTCTTCCCTCTCCTTCCTTGTTCATACCATCAATACTCTCACACTCTACCCCTACATCCACAATGCATTAACATTTTCCTCCGAGATACAAAGTAACTCTTACTTAATACAGGATGAAAGCTAAAGTGTCGAAGCTTCCTATGAAACGAGAATCTTAAAGCGAGAAGAGAAAGACAGGCACGATGTGGTATATGTTATTCACTCAGTGTATTCAATATCCGGGACTGGAATTCAACAATCAAAACTTTCAGAGCATTCAACTACTACTATATATTGGAAGTGTTTCGGATGTTGAGACGTTTTGAATGATTCAATTAATCTAGAGCAATGGATTTTTAGAATCGATAATCAATTCTCCAGAATCACAAAAGTAGAACCTGAAAATGGAATACAGGCCAGTCTATTAGAAACACTGCGTTTTTTTATCTTCAATTCGCCTATATGATGTTTGAATCTGGAGGATTATTCGCATGATGTTACAGTGAATCAGATGCGAGTAATCTGGTATGTGGTAGGTAGGCACAGGCATAGACATAGTGATTATCGTAAGATGAGCCGTGTTATGTATCATATATATGAAATCTTAAATTCAGCTAACAACTGTAGCCGCCAGTTATGATTGTGAACAATACCTCTTTCACACATATACATATACCCAACGGGATCATCGAAAGAAAGCGAAGCGTAAAGTTCTCGAGGTATATTTCAAATATATCATTCATGCAACTTGTGTTGAGCTATATCTACGCACATCTATCTAACTATAGATAAATGTCAATCAAATACTATTTCAAACAGAAAGCCAAGTCAGCTCTCAGCTCCTAGCTCGACTTCTCCTATAACATAAAAGCAGACGAAATAGCACGTGTCTTCCCGTGTTTTCGTGTCACTACTCATCATGTGTACTGACTGGATGTATGCACTTGCATTCCATCTCACAAAGCTCACTCATCTGGTACTTCCTTGGCTGAACTCATCTTTAATCCCTTGCCACCCTCCCAATGCATGTGATGAGTCTTCGCCTCCCCAGCCTAATGCCACGATCCCCAATAACCTGCCTCTATCATCCGCATGAACACGCAAGTAAGATCTATAGACTGTGGGGGTTGTATCTTACACATGTATCCAGACTATGTACTTTACCTCGCCCTGACCGCTAGATCGTTGAAGCATAATCTGAGGATGGGGAAACGAAAAAAGCCATAAGCTTATGAGATAGAGCGGGTATGACGCGTGAAGTAAATAATGTAGGCAAGTAGTGCGTAATGAGTGGTAGACTTGAGAAGCTAAGAATATCCGGGGTAGTACAAAGACAAGTAACCTACAATACAGTCATCCCTCTACCTGACTCTGACTCTAACTCCCAGCTCCAGCATCCAGTTACAAAACGAAGAATCACCAGTTGAAGATCGCAAGTGACTCGAGCAACCATTACCGTCATATCATGACTTAAATCGTGCAAAAACATGTATCAGTCATATGTCATGCCATTTCCTCTCCTGCTCTAAATCCACTAACCAAACTCCCGAGACGTCTATCAAAAATATCCTAGAATCGAGGTTTCCGAGAACTTTCCGGCTCCAGGTCATACTAGTTGATCTTTTCAACATCAAAAAGAGAACCAAAAACGATAAATTAAATAAATGGAGTCAGTCATCTGTACCCGCGACGACGTGGCGCAATTTATCCATCCATTTTATCCACGTCTTTAACCACGTCCTTTATCCATAGGGCTTTACTTGCTTGCTTGGTTACTTGCAGATACCGGTATTCACCTATCCTATGCCACTCCACCCCATCCAATATCTAACCGGCGAATCCGAAGATTCCGATCATCAGTCAATCTTGTGGATGAACAAAAGATTTCGACACCGTACAGTGTCCATCATATTATCTGTGACCTGTCGGACTGACTTCGCAAATCCACTTGCATAATTTCGAGTAGGGCGAGTTCGCTCGATACACACAGATGAAAGTCGATCTTTTCGTATCATTTGACTGGAACATAAAAATTTCTAACGTTCTGCATTCTACCTTTTTCCAATTTTTGGGTTAGAACCAGTAGATAGACGCCAGATTCCAATGATGATTAGGAAAACTTATCCATTCGCTTGACGAGTCGCCTGTCAACAGGCTCCCTCCCTCGCTCCCTAGTATATACCTACATATACACATAGTCTAGAAGACCATAGCGAAAGACACACATACACACATGCATAGCCAAATCCACCTTTTGTATATCAAAGTGGAGAGAATAACCTACCTACATACATATCGATAGTGCGTACCGGCGAAGACGGATACACACGTGTAAGTGATATTTGGTATACTTGCAGGCATGAATTAGCACGCTGTGAATTCCAGACGAGTCGATGTTCTCGAGGTTTAGGTTGACAACTTGATGTGAGTGGATAGCATTGATTTACATATCTACGAATCGAGTACTTGGGGTTACCAATGACGTGGAACGTAACGAGAGAGCGTGGAGCTAGTGATTGATACTTCTGAAATCTCGATTCTCTTCCTACCTAGTACCTACGA